AACTTATGGGCTGATATAATACTTTCTCATTCTTATACCCAGTCATTTATGTAATTGTACTGTCTTGTCGCAATGACAAAATAAATCACGCACTTGTCAGCATTTTATGGTGATAGTATATGCTACAAAAACCTACGAATCTGGTACATTGACAGTGCCTCATTTTAACAAAAGCGAAATGTCACTTCATATATATGAAGTATTGCGATAGCATAACTATCAGTCCCATATGTCCTATAGTAAATGTGGGGGAAGTGATCATGAAGAATGCAACCAAAATATTTCATCTATTTTTCTTATTGAAACAAGTAAACCTGGTAGTTTTCCTCTGTCTGGGTAATGCGAGGAATGCGCTTTGGATAACGTCTTTCTATCTTTAGCACGTCACTTAGCTCACAGATAAAATATTAGGTTTAAGGTCCAAATGTATTTGTACGTTGCAAGAATTAGGCAGTCCCATTTATGTCGAGCAACATTCCTGCAGCTCCAGCCCTTGGTGACTAGATTTCACAACTTTTGAGGTACAATGGAGCATGCTCTTTCTTTGAAAAACGGTGTAAGAATTGGTGTGATCACGGTTACAACATTCAAGGCCTCAGTTAAGCTTTCAAAAGGTTTTATGGTAGACATTTCCATATGTGACGCATCAGTGACAAAAATGATGTCCGATGCAATTCCCTATTATGACTTCAGGTGAATAAGTGACTTGCCTTTGTATGTGTTTGTGTCACTTGCCATCGGTGAGGCAGGATACGTTCGCCTTTTCGCGAACACCTTATACTTTGACTATTTGACAGTGATTCATAAACACATGTCATGATACAGTCGGATTCGTACAGTCGACTCTGTTTATGACAGATATTTCTTATGAATATGGAAATGTTTTTATCTTTTATATTTAGCAGATGAATTCTTTTATTGATGTATATTTTGTACAAATGATGAACATTGTTTCTCGTTCGACCTGTTTGGGTACTTAAGTCTATGATCCCCCCAAAAAATAATTTTTGATTTAGATTGCACTCTTTCACAAATTTAATAAATCTGGTTAAACCAGATAAAAAATAATAGAATTAACAAGTGACTCTGAAAAGTTTGTACATTACAGTTGTAAAATGCCGATACTTTTTGAAAGGGGTGTGTTAATTATTTTTGAGTGTTAGATTATATTATGAGAATACAGTACGAAACGGGGCTGCACAAGGACCATTAATCCTGGAGATGTATGAATACAAGTGAGGCTATGGATTTTACAAAAAGCTACACTGAACGTGTGCAAATTATACTTACTGCACTTGGAATCCGACCTCCCCTGCGGTTTGGTAACTAGTACAGAGGCTAAGGTTGAAGCATCACATGTTTTCTTAGTTCCGTCTACTTTGAGACAGCCGATATAGGTGGTCAGAGCCCTAAAACAACTTGATGGCTGTAAACACAGTAATGTATAATAGTCTGCATTTCTTTTGTTTATTCTTATGCTGACGACACAAAATAAGACATACATAAACTATTATACACATATTATTTTCATGTAAATATAGATTGAATATATTCATTTTTACATTTCTTGAACTTAACCCCCATCATCATCAGGAGCTTACGCGCATTCCTTGTCGCCAGTTAGATCCGTACCCCAGAAGACTTTTTGGCATGTGCAAGGTGGATCCAAACCTGTCGCTGAAATACAATTGGAATCCACTGTATATCTGTCTGCTACCACAATCTAAGACTACTTAACGAATCGTAATTATGATAATTAAGGGAAGAACAATTTCAGGAAATTCTTACCTTATGGTGGGCGTAATTTTATTTTAAATTTCGGACATTTCTATTACTACAGGGATACCTTGATTCAATGGTTACATCTGTTTCAGTGTTTGTTTGTTTGTTGTTAAACGCCGCACTCAGCAATAGTCCAGCTATATGACTGCGGTCTGTAAATAATCGAGTTTGGACCAGACAATCCAGTGATAGACATCATGAGCATCGATCCACGCAATTGGGATCGGTGACATGCATCCACCAAGTCAGCGAGTCTGACCACCCGATCCCTTTAGTCGCCTCTTACGACAAGAATAGTCGCCTCTTACGACAAGCATAGTCGCCTCTTACGACAAGCATAGTCGCCTCTTAAGGCAAACATGGGTTGCTGAAGACCTACTGTAACCCGAGTCTCTTTTTCAGTGCCGTATCTAAAAAGAGCACGATGTAAAGGATTTCATTTAGACGCGTTGTGTCGAAAACAATACAGAGTCCAATCGGTACCTACATATCCCCCGAGAACAATTTCAGCTAAGACTTCTGTTTCAGTGACCTTACTCATATTGTTCCCGGGTGATATGAAGGTATATGTGGCTACCATGTATTTTGAGTTTGTTGTGTTAACTTACCAAGGAATAGTTTGATACATGAACACAAGTTTCTTGGAAATGTAGTCAGAAATATGACCAAATGCTCCAATATGGACGATTTTAAACGCCAGATTGGGTGCTTTTGAGGTAACCTTGAAACAGGAGCCGTCTTTTATATGCCAAAATTGGATCAGCGTTTGTGATTGTTTGTTTTTTGTTTAACGCTGCACTCAGCAATATTCCAGCTATATGGCGGCGGTCCATAAATAATCAAGACTTTATCAGACAATCCAGTGATTGACATCATGAACATCGATCTACGAAACAGGGATACGATGACATACATCAACCAAGTCAGCGAGCCTGACCACCGAGTCCCTTTCGTCGCCATTGATCACAAACATAGATTGCCAAAGGCCAATTCTAACCCGGATCTTTGCGGAGCCAATCGGCATTTTTAGATACGATTGATGTAGTGAACATCTAGTAAGGCATTATCTCCTCAATTGAAATAAGAAATAGACTCATTACTAAATGTTGCACACTGCCACTTTATCGCTAGTACAAAGAAACTCCCAAATTTGTTTTCGAGGTAGAATGACGCAAAACACATTCTATTTTGTATGTGAGCTGTGTCACCTGCAAATTAGACATCACTTCCATTTGAAATATCTATTGATTATTAATCTGTTCATTATTTTATGATCACAGTTACTTTGCCACCAAGTATGTTATATAAGCAGTATTTTACGTAATGTGTAGTTTGTTCATATAACCATTGACATTGACTGATTGATGTGATATGATTTCACTTCAAGGTATAGATTATGACAAAAGAAAGCAAATGCTTTAAAAAACGTTTTCATTGTATCAAAATCTAATTATACAGTATACGTTGTGGAACTTGGATCGCAACAACGCATAAAATGCCGTTGTCTTTACAATTACATGTCTTGACCATTCGTCATGTCAATACGTATAATCCTCAAAAACTAATTCGCAAAATAAATTATACAAAGAAAGGGGCCTATGCAGGCGAATGATTAACGTAGTACGAACGATGGGGAACTGTGGCTTACTGCATTTAGCGTCTGTGATTTTCTTGACATCTGCTCCTGAAAGTGTGCATCCATCTTTGATTCCCGCAGCATTTTCGAGACATCCAAGGTACGTTTTCAAATTTCTGCAAAGTACATCTTGATAACACCACGATATCTGTTGTATCATTTGATGTCTTATACACTATTATAGCATACAATTATATGGATAAATATTTTATGTAAACGTTCCGATAATTTTTTCGGGCGAACGATTCCCGCCATATCGTGTGCACGAACAACAACGAACGCTGTCGGGGCATGATGATACGCAATAAGCCAAGTCACTCAATCTGATGATTCACAATAAACCAAGTCACCCAATCTGATCATACACAATGAGCCAAGTCACCCAATCTGATTATACACAATGAACCAAGTCACCCAATCTGATGATTCACAATAAGCCGAGTCACCCAATCTGATGATACACAATAAACCAAGTCACCCAATCTGATCTTAATCACCATAGCCTTTCAAGTCGACTCTTATGAGGTGGAATTTACTTACGCACAGCTCGTATCTGAAGTTGAGTCGTATGTGCAGGCAGCACATGCAGCAGCAGCAGCAGCAGCAGCAGCATCATCAGCAGCAGCAACCTGAACCCTGATAAGTGTTGCTATGAAGAAGCCTGAAAGAACATGTGCCTCTAAAATATCATCATGATCAAATTTCAAGCCCATTCACATTTTATCTTTATTCGTGAAAACTAAGTGACCATAAACAGCAATATTTTAACTTTAAACCTTAGGACTTGCTATTTTATGCTTGGACTGGACCGGAACTGGAAGTGGTTTCCAGAAGATTACGTCTCTAAACAGACTGATGTGACCACACCCACGGACATTTAGAAACAACGTATAAAATGTTATTTATGTAAAGTGCTAAGTATTTAGAAGAACGGGTCCTTTTAGTCCTAAACGTATATGTTGTTTCCATACTTAATGATTGAACAAGGTTGGTGACGTGCAAAATTTATGGGAGTCCGACAACTTCAACACATTCTTGGGGTGGTGGGGTAGCATAGTGGTTAAAGCGTTCGCTCATCACGCCGAAGACCCGGGTTCGATTCCCTACATAGGTACAATGTGTGAAGCCCATTTCTGGTGTCCCCCTCCATGATATTGCTCGAATATTGCTAAAAGCGGCGTCAGACTTCACTCACTCACTTCAACACATTCTCAAATACAAAACGATTTCTGGTTTATGAAAGTATTTCTTCTGACACATAAGGTGACTCAGTTCCGTTATATTGTAATACCTACTTAGATTTTATGTAATCATACAAAAATGATATTGCATGTTTGAATGCCAAACGAGCTGTTATAACTTGAATCTATACAATGTACAATAGCAAATTTAAATCTCAATCTCCAGCCAGATGCATAGACCAAGCGTTATTAAGTATGTTATAAATACTGTGCTTGACCAAATGCAAAACTGACAAAGACATTATTCACATAGAAAAGCCAGATAAAGGAACACGCTGCATAAAGCATAAAGACGTTGATTCCCATTTATGTTAAGATCAGATAATACACATATAACTTACACATGAGGAACGATAATGTCATCATTTTCCACATCTTGATGAACCTTGGTTTCTCTACCCTTGTCTTGGCTAGCTCCTCGGACTCCCACACTTCAAAGCTGGGCGTCTTGCTGCTTTTATAGGGTGTGTTCCCATGGTGTCTTCTGTTGACAACAACACAGGTATGGGGCGGGACCTACGTGAATACAACTTGACAGCATGATCCACGTATATTTACAACCTTTCGAACGAACACAAGACTTTTTATGCTTTCACGAATTTGTTTATCCATGCACTTTTGTAGCACAGACTCAACAGCTTTTTTAAAGTTATTTACCACCGACCATTGCGTGTACTACTATGTCGACAGAACCATATACTGATTCTCAACTATCCAATTCATGACTTGGATAGAAAATATCCGATTTTGTGATTCGAATGAATTTGAAAATGTACGAATCTTTAGTGTTATTTTTTTTGCACCAGAAATGTTTATCTGCGTTTGTTGATTATAGCATATTTTCTTGTGACCTCGTTGTATATACATTTTTGTTATTGTTGTATACTGATATTTATAAGTACACAAGGGGCGGTCGGGTAGCCTAGTAGTAAAAACGCTCGCTCATCACACCGAAGACCCACGTTGGATTCCCGACATGAATACAATGTGTGAAGCCCATTTCTGTCCCCCGCCGTGATATTGCTGGAATATTACTATAGGCGGCGTAAAACCATCCTCACTCACTCACTATAAATACACACATTGTTATTATACAGTTGGTAATAAGTCTTCAGCAACCCATGCTTGCCATAAAAGGCGACTATTCTTGTTGTAAGAAGCGATTAACGAGATCGGGTGGCCAGACTCGCTGACTTGGTTGATACATGTCATCGTATCCCAATTGCGTGGATCGATGCTCATGATGTCAGTCACTGGTCTGGTCTGGTCCAAACAGCCGTCATAAAGCTGGAATATAGCTGAGTGCGGCAGTATGTTATTTTCCATGTCTGGATTCGTCTGTGTTGTTAAACCGCAGCACAGGATTGGTACATGTATGTCAAATTGATCTCAAGAACACTTGCGGTTACTTCAGGTACACTTTCGCTTTATATAATTATTCAAATATTTAAGCGTCAAGCTACATCTCGTGAACAATCTCTGTTCAATTTCCATGTTGCGTTTTGTCATCCCCCACCAAACTCAGTTTCACTCGAGATAAACCGGACTCTGATCACTTGAAGCCATCTTCCCGGGGCAAGGGTATTCACTAGCATATATGAAGGATTAGTTTCCACCTTAGCCATTTCAAGCCTACTTTTGTTTGGCTCGATCGTGGCGCCACCCCGTGTAGAATAGGAGTTGTGTCCCTTGTGATGAAAACGTGATATCTGATCAGATTTCTCTTGTTAAATTATGTTTGCTTTTAAATATGACTTTGTAATTATGACGCAAATGTATATATAAACTGACGGCCAAACGAAACGTCACCATAGTTTTAAAACACGTTTGTTACGAACTCAAAGGGAGCACTAATCCCAGAGCGTTATAATAGTAGCTCGTTTCAAGCATATATACCTCATATCTACAGCAATTGGCCGGGACCAAAAATAAAGTTCGTTATTAGCGTGTTCGTATTAAGCGTATTTTACTGTAGTTTAAAAAACACAACAGATAGATGCAAGAAGTAAAATGTATTGAAAAGATCAAAATCACAACGAAATCAATATTTAAAATTACAGTCATACAGCATCCGATATTGGCATGACAATTGCACGAACTGAGCTGCGGTTGCAAAAACAAGCTTTCAAGGTTATGTACAAAGGGTACACAAATCTGAAATCTCACAAGTTTAATGACATGCCACACGCACGGCGCACGGAAAAAGTCATTCGTCTGATGACGTCACGTGGGATACGTCGCCATCATCTTGAAGGCGTCTATTGGGGACATGGCTGACTTTGTATGCTGGCGATTAGATGCCTCACTCTGAGAGTTTGGGTTTGGGTTCGTAGTGATAACGCTGTTTTCTTGTTCAAGGGTATAACGAAGGTGAAAAAGGGGCAGAGGATAACCCATAAAGGTCTATATTTATTAGTAAAAATTGGTTACACATTTGGTTAGTAAAATGCGAACTACTGACCAAACCCGGGGTTCTTCAATCACTTTAGTTTAGCCTTAAACGTCTATATATTTGTGATGTTTTGGTCAAATCACATTTTTATGAGTATACTTTCTTTTACTCGGCAGTTCAATAAACAGTATAGTCTAGATGGTGGTGCTGTTGGACCTAATGATCCAAATGAATCTTCTGGTTATCTCGCTGCCTCAAGTAATCAAATGCACATCTGACACCATCCCTTGGTGAAATTACAAAATAAAGGAAAAGATAATGAGATTGGAACACCGAAGTCGAGCCCAAATATCCACATATGATAAATATATTTTTATATTGTCTTAAATTTTATCTAATTTCAGATACCGTCAAAAGATATGACCCTTTACCATGTAGGAAATTTAAATAAACAAACAAACACACAGACAACGTCTACTAATCACGATATATACTTATGATTAGTAGACATTATGTCACGCTTCCATACATATTTTCATGAGTCTACAGTGTAAGAGTTATGTGTTGATGAACTCCGTGATAGAAAGCGAAATTGTACTGGTACGGTTTATCCACCAGCCAATTATATTCTTAAATTTACACACACAAAATATTTTATGTAGTAAGTATGTAGGATGTTATATTTAATCCCTGATTGAATTTATTTATTTTCTATGTACCTTTAAAGTTCCTTCAGCTATACATTTAACATATAACACGTTTCTATTTCTAAACGAACGTTCAAGTAGATCTTTGATCAAAGCGTGTAATGGGTGACGAATGAGTGAGTTTAGTTTAACGCTGCTTTGAATAATATATCAGGTACAAGTCTAGCTATTTGTTCCTCGTAAAATTATGAACAAAGGCTGGGAACATCCAAAATTAATTCAGTAGAGAGAGATCACCCTTAATCCTTTAGAGATGGTAGTGTATTCTCTATTTTACATAATAGTTAACTAATGTATTTACTTTGAATGTCACGTATGCATATTCAACCTGTATAAACTGCTACGTGCTTTATCGAGCCTACGTGCGCTATGTGTAATCCCTATAAAAAAAACTTATATTAATAGAACCTGGTAAACTATTGAACATGTGTTTGTGTCGCACTTGCTGAGATCCAAGGATTACAATGTGTACTTCCTTAAGACGGTTGTGCATAAAGCTGTCAGGCTTTTACGAACGTGTAACAAATTCTTATGGTGTCAAGTATTGCTTGTTAGAGAGTCAACAGAGATTATAGATGGTGCCTCCCAACTAACGTAACATTGTAACTGTCAGTTATAAATAAAAAGTGCACAAAGTGGTTTTAGAGATTATATATTGATGTTGCTATCGTTGTGTTCATACCAACAGGTGTCAATAATTCGTGCGCTTAAGCATGAACTACATATGAATAGGTATCGTGATTCGACCTCTATCCATGATCTGTAAGCCCCAAATCGTGCTCGTGGATTTCACGGAATTGATAAATCGGCGTCATTATGGGCTTTCCTTCCGCATTACGTTAAAGCCCCAAATCACCCCCAGAAAAACAAAAAATAATAACTTAAACTTTAATAAAAGTGCAAAATTGTGTCAGCTGTAGTCCCGAAATTCCAGACAGTCAAAACTAATGATGTTCGCATATTGAATGTGTCACGTTGCGCTCAATCATGATTTGGGGTGGGATCAGTAGAGCTGGAAGTACCGACCTCTGTGACCTACAGTGAGGCACGGTTACTGTTGGGCGCTACAGGGACGACATTCTGGACCGCACTTCATCCATTTGGATCGTAACGCACGATCTCATCGTGCCAGGGCCGTTGGTGCTACTGAAAGTATAAGACCAATTGTCCGCATGGAGTGGCCAGCCCGGTAACCATTTAAGCCTATCCAACAAATGTGGAATGAGCTATGCGTAGTTTAGCCTGTCATGACGCGATGTCCTTCAGGCAACTTTACATGTACGGGAACTCGGCAATGCTCTTATTGAAGAGTGGATCAATCTTCCTTGGGCAACAATCTATAAACTTATTGGGAGCATGAGACGACGGTGCCAGGCTGTGATCGCATCACAAGGATCACAAACGCGCTTCTGAGAGTTGTTTTCCAAGGACAATGAATTTGCTTTCAAGATTTTTTTACGTTTAAGTTTTAGTCAGATACTCTCATTTTGACTGAATTGACGGATTATTGGTTAAATGGTGCTTGTTGGCATTGTTTGGCACATGGCTTTTGGTAATTAAAACATGACTTCACGCAATATTGTTTTCGGCTAGTTCAACTCCTGCGCACAGTTTGACGTATTGCCTTTAAAAGTGGCGATCCTTAACAAACTCTGAGTAGTATACCTTCTCCAAAATGGCGATAAGGGTTACAATTGTGCCCAATCTCGTTTTTTTGACTATACAATATGTTACTAAACTCAAAGATGGTACTCTGCTTTGAAAGCTAATGGCCAATTTCAGTTTCTGAGATACATCTACAGGCATATTTATATGTTTCCTATCACATCAAACGTCAGTTACATTAATAACAAAGGTGCAGATGATCAAAGCGTTGCCAAGCTAAAATGTTCATGACAAATATCCTGACTGCAATTGGTGACACTGATCCATTAAAAGAGAGGGTGCAATTGTGTTTTATGTGGGTATTATAAACAGAAAACAAAAAAACATTCTAATCACAAAGCTATATGTGCGTATATGCTAATTAGAGTTGTGCTTACTGTCAGCAATAATTATATTATAAAAAATATATTATAATTGTACACAGCCACAATTGAAAATATCATCTTCGGCAGGTCACAAGATGAGGTAACATTTGTTTTGGCTATTGACAAGAATGAAGAAATTTTATTTATATTATATTTTCTTAGTTATCTTCATGAATTTTGTGCTTTAAAGCACAGTGTCAATGAGGCAGACTCACCCGATTTTAACAAAAAGTTGTTTCACTTTCAGAAAATCATAGTATTTCATTACTAAATACACATTAATAAGCTCAAAACCTGTCAACACCAATGTCGAATTTTGAAGGAAGAAGGAAATCTGTGTGTTTCATTCAAATAATGTCTACGCTGTGTCATCAAATAAATGCATCT